CATATCATGGCGCAGAAGCCCCAGTTGTTGGGGTTCAGGTTCTTGTGGTTTCTTTTTCTTTAAGCAGTGGAGGGAGCAATGGAATTCCTGGGCCTTGGTTACACAGGCCGAGGCCTGGCTGAGGAGCTGAGGTCTCGATGGACGGGAAAGAACTCTCTGCAGAGGGAGACTGGCAGGAGAAGAACAAATGGACTTATTCCTTCCATACTGTAGCAGTCTGTGAAGGGTCAACTTCTGGCGCTGCAATTACAAAACTTATTAAGAGCATCTGACAAGCACTTGTTAGCCTGGAGAGATGATTAGTTATACCCTATATAAAACTAAGGCCATCTGTGGAAATCTACTGTCTAGTATGTTAATAGGTTTATAAAGATACCACCCCCCCTTCACTTAAAGCAGTGAATCTCAAACTTTTGTACTGGTGACCCCTTTCACACAGGAAGCCTCTGAGTGCGACCCCCCCCCTTAAATATATAAAAAGTGTGGTTAATTTATAACACCGTTATAAATGCTGGAGGCAGAGCGGGCTTTGGGGTGGAGGCTGACAGCTTATGACCCCCTGAGGGGTCCCAACCCCCAGTTTGCGAACCCCTGACTGAAAGGGCATTGCTGCTTTTATGAGAAGTTGGCTGTTTCACTACATTCTAACACAAACAGTAGCAAACATTACACAGAGGTTACAGAAATAGCTGCCTTCCTCCCCTGTTCCTGACATGGCCGTGATCTGCGAAGAGAATATGTTCTTTTTGCTGCTGGAGGGTGAATAAAGAAGGCCTGAAAGGTTTCCTCCAACTACGTTCCTTTCTTGTGTTTTCACACTAGAAATTCAAGCCCTCCTTAGAGCAGAAGTTTCTATGATGAGTAGGGAACTAGTGCAATGTTCTCATTAGAGCCAACAGAACAGAGAGTAAGTGAAAGGGAAAAGGATTGTTAGTCACTTTCAAAACTTGTTTTGAAACACCTCGTTACGTTTAATTGACTAAGATTTTGGATAAAGAAAGGCTGTGTTAAGGATTAAGCACCTTCACCTTAACAATTAAGGTGCTAGAGCTCACAATAAACACGCCTGTGATCGCCCTGAGGCCCTCTTGCAAAAAATTGACATTCCTGAAGTTGCTAAGGAAAAAGCACAATGACTTTCTGCCGCCTTTATATTCAATCAAAAGAGAGCAGCTACACAACTTCTAAAAAATACTTTGCAGATTGTGACCTGAGAGGGTGGAGACTGTATCATCACCATGATGTTATAACAGTTTCAGTGAAGAGGAATTTTGTGGTGCATATATGATCCAGACTATACACTTAAGTTCTTAAACCCCACTGATTTCAGTATGGTTACAGAGACGCAACTGAAGGGAGGATTTGGCTCTTTAATTTTAACAGCTATCAAATACCAGTGACAAAACATATCAGTAAGCCTGTGATAAAGCCATGGGGCTGAGTTGCGGGTCAATTATGCCAGGCAAGAATCAGTGGAAAAATGGTTTATAATTCTGTACATTTTAAACATTAAAAAAGTTCCTTTGGAAAAAAATAAATATGATAAAATGAAACCTCAGTCTGTTGTAAACTATGAGCCAACTGCTTTATATACCCCAGATGCTTTGCCTCCTGTTTGGTTTTGTTTTTAAAGCTATTTCAGGATAAAGTAGATAACACATTAGAAACTTACTTTTAAAGGTATGTTGGAACAACATCGCTGTACAAGGTGAAACATATTTGCCTTAGCAGAAGGCCCTAAGGGATGGAAAAAAAAAAAGTCAGGAGAATCAACTTAGTGACAGTTTATACTAGGTAAAATATCCAAGTTTAGAGCATGTCTCAGTATAAGTTACTACAACAATTTGTTTTCCCTATTGACCGTTTTGTTTTGTAAATAAGAGGACGCAGATCAGGACTATGCATCTTGATTGTTATCACTGTACAGCTAATAACATATCTGCTGTACTCCTATAGCCAATTAATTAGATTGAACTTTTACAGGACATTTTGTTTTCAAGTCACTTTACAAGCTAAGGTCATTAACTTGTAATGCATTGTTGTGCCAGATCAGGGCCTAATTATATCTCAAGGTGCCCCTGAAGTAGGTAAATAGCTCCATTTTATAGATGGGGAAACTGACAAAGTGTAAATGGTTTGTCAAGTCATGGAGCTGGTTGATGATAGAGCTGGAATTAGAATTCCGTCTCCCAGCCCCAAATTGAATCCACTAATCCTACCCAAAACATTCCTCTAAAGGTTGGCAGTGTCTAGGTAATATTACCACTGTTCCTTTAAAAAAAGAAAAAAAACTAGAGAAGATTAGTGTGATTACAAATAAACATTTTAAATGGGTCCACTGTGTATTAAAAGCATCTAGAACCCCCAACCGAGGGGCTCGCGTTGTAAAATGAAGCGTTTACACTCTTAATAGCCAACACAGCCAAAGGGAGTATCACGGGGAACTGTGGAAGAGAACAGGAGGACTTGTGGAAGCGACTAAGTCATTTGCCCAGAGAAAGTCTGGGGCAGAGGTGGGAACTGACCCCCGGAAGCCCCTGTTCTATTGTAATTAACACGAATAGATACGGATGGTCTGGCCGCCGTCTGGATCAGTTTCCTTGCACTAGCTGTTGTGCAAACACCCCCACTCGTGCCTCTTCTCCCTGCAGAGAGCTCCAGGAAATCAACCCCTACTTGCAGAGGCGCCTTCCCCTAGGGGAGCCCAGCAGCGCCCCACCCGCTCCCGCTGCCCTCACTCACCCTCCCAAGGGAACCGCAAGGAGCACGGCCACCCGCAGCAGCAACCGGCCTCCCGTGCAGGGGATGGGAAGGGACGCAGCATCCGGCAGAAGGACCAGGGCTTCCCGTGTACGCTGGGCGGAGATCCCCAGCCCAGAACCTGGGCCAGCCGCTCTAGTTCCGCTCCGGCAGCGAGACCTGCTCCCCGGACTGTCTGTTCCTCGAGGGCTTGTCGTTTTAGGTCTCGGGCGTTAGGAAAAGCTCGCCTGGCCCCGAGTTTTCCAGCCGCGGAGAGGGTGGGCGTGGCGGGGTTAAAAGGCATCAGTTCTAAAGGGAGGAGAATGTAGATTAAAAACAAAACATACAACAATGTATCTCACGGATGGAAAAGGCGATTCCTGACAGGTGATGCTGGGCATTACTTAGGTAATGTAAGTATTTCCATGGATAGAGAGGCGAGAGAAAAGGTTAGTTCTAGCTCTAGTGGTTTGAGCATTGGCCTGCTAAACCCACGGTTGTGAGTTCAATCCTTGAGGGGGCCATTTAGGGATCTGGGGCAAAAATCTGTCTGGGGATTGGTCCTGCTTTGAGCAGGACTATATGACCTCCTGAGGTCCCTTCCAACCTTGATATTGTATAAAGAAGAACAGGAGTACTTGTGGCACCTTAGAGACTAACAAATTTATTAGCGCATAAGCTTTTGTGGACTACAGCCCACTTCTTCGGATGCATTTCGTGGCTGTAGTCCACGAAAGCTTATGCGCTAATAAATTTGTTAGTCTCTAAGGTGCCACAAGTACTCCTGTTCTTCTTTTTGCGGATACAGACTAACACGGCTGCTACTCTGAAACTTGATATTGTATGCAGGCTATGAGTACAATCAGAAAGCATGGGTCAGGCACACCCCATACCCCCCCAAAAAATCAAGGGACTGGATAAAGCACTTGCATGGGTGCAGGATCAGAACCTGGTTTGGCTTGGAGGGTGCTGGCCAAGCTGACACCCCAGTTCTCTAGTCTAATTTATTTAAATTCAAACTGCAAGCAGTTCTGAGCAATCAGAATGCACTTAGCATACAGTGCTCAAGCCCCAGCTTTGCGGTGTAGCTACAGTCACAATTAGCACACATGCTTTACATGTTCAAAGTGCTACCCAGACCTTGACTAACCAGTTAACTTATTTGAAAGATAAAGTGGGTGAGGTCCTTTATTGGACCAACTGCTGTTGGTGAGAGAGACAAGCTTTCCAGCCCCACCAGGCTCTTATTCAAGTGAATGTGTTTGTGTGTCTTGTATTTATGCCTCTTTCAGGGCTGACAGTGGGAGCTCCCAGCAATGGTGAGGTCACTTTTCTTTATCTTTTTCTGCAACAGTTCTGCTGACTGTTTATTGCTTGCTGGGCCTGATCGCTTTCCAGTGGTTTCTGTCAAGATTAGCTAAGGTTTGCAGAACATGGTAGAGATAAATAGCACTGGCATTATTCCAGCAGCTGAGGAATCTTCCTCCTTCCCCTGCAACTGCATTTTGCTGGACGTGTCTCTGGGGCATAATGTCTCTGCTTCTGGGTTGAGTGCGAAGCGTCTCTTGCTGAACGTAAAGCCATTGCTGTGCCTTCCCCCAATGATTGCTGCGGCCTGTTCTAGTTCTGCTGCCTCCCTGGCTCATTGAGGAAATATCTGTTGAACAGGAAGGAAGGATTGATTTATACACAAAGCCTCAGCCTGCCTGTCTGCTCTGTCACTGTCTGAATCGCCTCGCAGCTGTGGCGAGGGGAGTGGCACATGCTTGCTTTCGAGGATTACAGTACAGTACTTCGCTTCCTTCCAGAGGGGTTGAGTCTTTCACTTTAAGGGGAAGGAGGCGGCCGCAGCAGGGAAGGACTACACATCCCAGCATGCACTACGATCGTGGGCCCCTCACACAGGGTGAGGCAGGTGGCGCAGTGCATCCTGGAACTTGGAGTCTCGCGGGGGGGGGAACAAGCCGACCCCCCCCCATGACAGACACAAACAGAGCGGGAGCGCGAGCCGCCTGGAGAAGTTGGGGCCGGGTGGGGGTCGAGGCAGCACGGGCGGGCGCGCGCACGTAGTGGCCGAGGTAGACACTGGAGAGAGCCGTATTCTCTCGAGCGCGCGCGCGCGCCCGTCCGTCGAGCCCGCGCCGCGGCGCCCACCCCCACCCCACGGAGCGTCCCGCGCCGGACCGGGAGAGGCGCGCGGCCAGACCGCGCCAGGTGGGTGTGTCCCCACGCGCCAGCCCCTCCCCCTCCGGCCCCCGGCCGGGCAGGGCCGGGCCGCCATTTTGGGCAGAGCTTTGTTATGGTTGTGGGGCCGCGGGAGGCAGCGAAGGGGCCTGGCCGGTGAGTGCGGGGCCCCGCGGGGGGGCGGGCCTCTCCGTCGGGGCTGCGGGGAGCAGCCAGCCCCGACCCCGACGCCGCTG